GCTTAACGATTTTAATTGGTTCAAAAAAAAATCGCTATGTGAAAACATCGGTAAGCGAAACACCATTTCCCATAGAGATGCATTGAAAACCAGATAATCTGTTCCAATTGGAACAGATTACCATCCTTAAGCGAAAATCCCCATAGGAAAAAACATTAAGAGAAACCCATTGAAATGCATTGAAGCCTATTTCAATGGGGGGAAAAATTCAAAAAAAATTCAAAAAGACTCAGAACAAAGCCAAATTAAGTTAACGAAGGTTTTATTAGGTGCACTAACGATTCCAAGCATTTTAAACATTTTTAAACATTTTAGAATATTTTTAAAATAGCAAAAATGGGGCTGTAAAAAAAAACGTTAAGCGAAACAAGGGGACCTAAAACTGTCATCGTTAAGTGAAGCATGGTCCCTAAATCGTTAAGCGAAAATCGCCCATAGGGAAAATCGTTAAGTGAAGCACAAGATCGCTCCAAAAAAGCCATCGTTAAGTGAATTTTTCGTTGTACGAAGCAATCGTTAAGCGAGGCACCACTGTATATGGACAAGAGTTCCCTTCTACTTTAGATCACCAGATATTGTCTACTGATGGTGGTGGTGGGGGAGGTTTGCCCAGTAAGCTCTCCCAGCACTTTTCTTCTGCCTCGTCACATGTGTCTTACTCCACCTTTTAGTGTGCCACGTTTCATTTTCATACGATTAGCTCCATCCAATAAAATCCTTGATGGTATAAGTGGTTGATTAATCATGTTTAATTAGCATTTGGATATATACCTGAGGAAATGTGCAACCAGCCTTGTGCAAGGAATGGTTTGCCCTTGGGAGGAAACAGAACAGCTAGGCATTTGGGGCTCATCCTCAGTATGGTGGTAGTGTTGTCCACGGTCACCCTGGAGTTGCTCTGGGTCATTCTAGTATATTTTTCCCCTTGCAGATTTAAATAAATCATGCTGCTATTGGCATCCCCACATGGGGAGAGTATTTGTTACTGGATGTCCTGACATGCACCGAGTCTTGCCGGTACTGTTCTCCCCCACGCATCTGGAATTACTCCCTGAGGTCTCCACTCGTAACACAGATCACACTCCCCTTCTCCATCCTCTCACCACCTACTTCACTCCTCTTTCCTTCCCCCTCTCCTTCCTTGTTTTACTCACCCACCATTCTCAAATGTTCAGGATCAGACCACAGTGCTTTCTGATTTTAATTCTTAAAAAAAATCAATCAATAAAGGAATAGCTGCTCTTACAAGAAAACAAAACAGGCATGCCAGTAAGGCTTGGAAGGGTGGAACTGACCAGCAGACACACTTGTCCACAAAGAAGACTCATCAAATCACACCCACCCACAGGTGCATGGATCAGTGCACATCAGTGTGCCATTAGGGTCTGTCCATACAAGCAGATTGTGCTCTGGAGCAAGTCAGACCAAAGAAACACCAAAAAACCCACAAAAAACTTCACAACACAGTGGTGGTTAAAAAAAACCTGGGAGGCAAGGGGTTTGGTCCTGTTTTGACTCTTGTTGGCACAGGTTTCAGCCTTACATTCTGTGGACACCGGATGCAATACTGATGCATGGGTGAACACTCCGTGTGAATGAATTCTCTGATGTGCTTCTTCTTTGTATTCTTCACATCCAGAGCAGTAGATCTCAGGGTTAATTTCACCACCTTCCCCATACCAGTCCTTATTTCTCATTCCTGTACTCAGTGCTAGCAAATCCTGTCTTTCCTCTTTCCCAAATACGCAGCCCAGTCTCATAGAGCTTTCTTTTCATCGGGAACAGGCTTTGTTTAATTATTCCAAATGCCAGCTTTCATACAGGCTGTACCCACAACCCTAATCATGGGTCCTTTGATTGCATGGTTTTAGAGAGATTTTACTGAACAAATCTAAATCTCCTGCTGAAGCTCTATTGATTTTATTCTCCCTGGGAATAAAATTATTTTGCATGCTCATTGCACAGCAACTACGGTATCAGATAATAACTTTTAAACAGAACATTTTGTTTTAAAATTTCAGCACATTTCCAGCAGAAGACACAAGGACAGAGTTGCAGGAAAGCCAACAAAACCAAAATATAGTCCTTATAACAAACTACAGCGTAGTCCAAGTATTCTAGCAGTAAGTATTGACTGAGCTGTGGCATACATTGGGTAGCAAGTGGGCGTTTCCAAATGCATTGAATTTAGGAGCATGCCATATATAAGTCTATCAGACTACAACACAAAATTACAGCACAACAGCGCAAACACATCCTTTAGAGGAGTAAGCTATCTGAAGTGGAGTCCATAATATGTCTACTAGAACACCTTTTTTTGTTTTGTTTTGAAACAGGCTGAAGTAGCTCAACATAATGGCCATATATATGTCTCTGCCTTTTTAAATGAGCCTTTTAGAGTATTATACTTGCAGTCACAACAAGCTGCCTATAATAATATCCAGTGCTAACAATGAACCTTGCAGATTGTAAAACCGACACTATTCCAGAGACCTTGATTTTAAATAATAATAATAATAAATCTTCTTGGCCATAAAGACAGATTTACAGATACACTACAGAAATATTAGGAGTACTTAAAATCTGCTTGTTTCCTCCTCATTTTGCAGTATGGAATTCCTTTCTTCTCCTTCCCTATCCTTCTTCCAAAGTCCAGGTTATAATATTGGAAGGTGCCGTGCCTGTATCTGTGTTACTGAGCATACGTAAAGGCAGAGTCTGTTTGTTCCACAAAAAAAGAGGGAGGCTTCCCATTGAAGTCAGTGGCCATTATTTTTTAACGGGGCCAGACTGAACCCATCTCATTGCAAAGGCACGGACAAATATTTTAAAGTCTGGAACATTCCAGCTGACCTTTAGAAACAAATGAACAAAAAGGGAAGACCCCCGCATAAAATTACAAAGAATAAAATGAAAAATGCTTCTGGCTTTTCTCGTGTCACAGTGGGAAAGCTTAAGTCACAGCAGGTGTGCGCACCTCTCAGTGCAAATCCCAGTTAAGCACTTAATTTGGATCTGTGAGCAAAGGGTGAATTTGGGGAACTTTTGGGAACAGTTCTTGGAACACTGAAGGACTTGGACGTCTTTTGTCTCTTGCATCTAGAGGCATATATTGCACAAGAAGTTAAGTTTTATTGCCTCAGAGGATACCTTTCTATCTCACTACACATTGTGTACTCTGTAATTTTAGTTACGGTTGGGAACAGCCGGAGCACTCTTACGTTGTACAGACAGGGTACAACCTTGTATCCACAAGCAGAGAAGGAAACAAACATCCCATGAAGAAATTATAGCAATCAAGGCAAGCTATCCCTGCCCCTTCCAAAATAATTATTTTAACTCCGTCGCAAGTAACATTTTCATGGGGCAATTCATATTAATCAATGCAAAGTGCAGGCATCCTGATTTAACATAGAAGCTTATTATTAATACAAAATAGCTAATTGCTCTCTGGTTTGTAGACTGCAGTGAGTTACCAAGTAGTTGTTCATGGCTTCCTGTAAAGAAAACAAAAGAAGAAGGGGGGTTGTAATTGAAAACATTTATCAGAAGGTTTTTATTTTTTAAGTTTTGTTGTTGGGGGAGTAACTATTTAATGTTTTTTCTACATTCCGTAGGCAAAACTTGCGTTCCAGAAAGATATGATTAAACCCTTGACACCTGCTTTTCTTTCATCTCCTCTTGCCGCGGCTGCCGCCGCCGCCGCCGCCGCCGCCGTATCTACTACTTTGACTCTTCCAACCCGTCCTACAGCTGCTTTGTTCCAGGCTCCCGCAATACCCACAGCCCTTCTCCGGGCAGGACCTGGCCCAATCCGAGCGACTCCCACATCTATTCTATTTGCACCCTACTGATGTTTCCAGTCTACAGAAGGTCCCTATGGACCACCGTTAGGAAAAGAGGCAGAAGGAAGTACACCAGCTTTCTGTATAATTTGTAAACAACTGGGTTTCGAAAGCGCTGTGCTTGATCATTCCTCAAGAAAACAGGCTGTGGGATTCTTCGTTGGCAGGTGCTGCAATCTAGAGGACATCAGTTTGTTGCTGTTTGAGGTTTTCTTTTATCTAAAAAAATAAATAAGCAGGTCAGTGATTTACAGGAAGAAAATACTGGTGCACAAAATACATCAATTATTTTTAAGTGGACAAATGACCTGCGTTTTAGAGCAACGAATGTGGAATATGTTCCTGGTCTGACTTGAAAACCAGAATCTTCCTCCTTCATGCAGATGTACACAGGTCTCTGGAAACCATCTGGACAGATTCTGGTGTACAAAGAAAGCTAAGTAAAACAAGTGGTTAGAGGACCGATGACATCTCCATAGCGGACTGTGAGGTTTTCTTTCCCGTGTGCTTCTGTTGCTAGGGCTTGTGTCTTATTTTAGGCCTCAGTATGAGTGTACCTTGTGTAGGACTTGAGTTTGTTCCCTTGTTTCATTTTAAACTATTTTCGTTGCTGTGGAAATGTTTGGAAGCAGACCGTCTTAAACGCTTTTCTTTTTAAAAATTATTTGTGTCTTTAACATTTTATTTAGAAACATTCAGAATACAAAAGCCATATATCAGATAGCTAAGATTTATTGTAGTACCATTTTCATTTAACTTATTTTGTTTGTTGTTGCTTTTCTTCTCCTCCATCCTTACTGATGTTGAGCAGCTTTATCAAAAAACAATTCCATCATGTATATGTTTACTATAGCTCATTGTTTCTCAAGACAATGGTGCAGTGTATTTATTCTCATATATATATATATAGTCATTTTAAAATTACTTTCCTATATAATGATGCTGCATTTACTTGTGGCTCCCCAATGCAATAATGTACAGAAGATTATATATATAATATAATTACTTGTCTCTTCTCTTTAAAGAATATATAATTGTCTTAACCTTCCTATTCCCGCCTCCATTTCATAATGGTGATGAAGGCACCTCATCTGTTGTTTGAAACAATGAGGGTGCTCTCTGAAAACACGTTTACCTGCAATCTGTAAAGAATAAAATATATGTGTATTTTTTAAAAGCGAATTTTTAATAAAATGATGTAGAAAATAGCAATTTGTTTATTAATGAGAAAGGGAGTTCTTGCAGAGTCCTTAATGAGCATGTGAATCATGGCCATTATGATCAAATATGTTATAACATATTTGATAGTGTCATTGTTATGGGGGAACACACTAGAAACTTCTATATACCTGTACAGTCACTTGGTGATACTGTCATTGCAAATGAAATCTTCAAAAAAACAACCCTCTAGTTTATGAATGTGGGATTATTGTGCTTCTGCATGTATCATTCAAAAAACTAAGAAATTGCCCAATATTGCTGCACAATATCAGCGCCACCTTGATTACTGGCTATCACTGCGCTAGAGAGAATAGGAAAACAACCCCCCTCTCGTTTTCTTTAAGGCATCAAATCTTTCTGCCAGACCAAGCTTCCATACTGCACTGGGACCATAAATCAACTTTCGCAATTACTCCATGCAAATGGCTTAATGGTTTAATGCAAACTGAACATAGCTGATTAATGATACTTAAGACTCCTCATAGATTTCTTTATAGCTACAGGGGGTTTTCAGTGAGATGGAATCTTCAGTGCAGACATATGCGCTTCTGCATGCATGATTAAAAAAATTTAAGAAATGGCCCAATATTGCTGCACAATATCATGGCCACACTGACAATAGGAAAAAGGATGCCAAGCTTTAAGCAGAAAAGGGCAGACTGAATGTTGACAACACCAATGGCAGCAGTCAAGATGGTCTACAGCAGGGGCCTCCAAACTTTTCAGCGGGAGGGCCACATCATATATGCTCCTCATATATGATTATATGATGTGGCCCTCCTGCTGAAAAGTTTGGAGGCCCCTGCTGTAGACCATCTTGACTGCTGCCATTGGTGTTGTAGACAGATATGCCCCATGATTGAGGACTTCATGCCCCAGGGATACACTTCAAGGAAGTCTGTTTGGGAATAGCAGCGGGTGCCTTTAATATATTTTACAGTTAATGGGCCAATTTTAAAAATGTTCAGACTGTATGATCACATTTCAGTCATCCTGAACAAGTATCAGGATCATAGGATTCAGCAAGAGGGATCCCAGAGGATGCAGATAAACTGAGTGTGTTTTCAGTTCTTCCCCACTGAGAAGGCACCTTGGTGGAGGGAATTCTGCTAAATTTCTTTATGGAAACAATGAGATGCGCTGCCTGCCCCCACAGGTCATCTCAGCGTAAGGCTCATCCTGGCGAGCAGCAGCAGGGGGACTTCAGCAGATGGCTGAAACTCAGCAGACTGGAGGAGATGAAGGAAGAACATGGCTTTGGAAGTCTAGCAGCTGCTCTCACAGGGAATTAGTGGCCCTCCAGATGTTTGGGACTGTTGTTACCTGTTTTGGCTTATCCTTATCCTTGCTAACTAGGAGATAAACTTACCCACTCTGCTCCTAGGATACACTTACCCACTCTGTTTGACTGAAAAGGCAGGGGCCACAGCTGTGTACTATCTCAGTGAAACAGCGCCAAGAAAATGCTCTCTGTGCTCAGGAACATCTGGATCAGAGAGGTCTCTTGAAGCACTTATCCCCTTTCATAGCATCCTTTAGTGATATATTGCCTCCAGCCAACCTGTAATAAATTAACAATTTCAAAGTGCCTATAGATTTTAAAGAGAGAGAGAAGGAGAGAGGATCTTTAGGAGAGGTTAATGGAAGCACAGCTGAGATGGAAGTTAATATCTTTGTTGAAGAAAATATGAAATGTAAAAATAAAATGAAGAAGATGCCACCTCTGTGCAAGTAAAAGATTAAGCTGCCTCGTCAAAGAAGTTTCTTAAATGTTTTTCCTCTTATCACAACAAAGCGAGGTGATAAAAATCATTCAGTGTTCCCTGCTTCGCATTTCTAAACACAGATAGTGCACCATCATTCCCTCATTTCCCTCGGTCCAGCTTGTATGTTGCAGGCACTCTGAAATACCTTTCCTCACCTAGCATGTCTGTTCCATTTATCTGGAGGAAGAAGTTATTTTAAGGACTCTGATTATCTTTCATTTGCACACAATCAAAGCCTTCTGACATTGTTAGTGCTCACACATGCTCTCTTTCTTCCTCTCACACAGAGGTTGGTAGAAGCTGCAGCCTGAACCGGCTTGGTCACATCTAAACTTAGCTATACCTGCAATTTTGGTATGCTGGCAGATTCTGTGATGCAACTGAACACACCATATGTTGCCATTGAAATCTGTTATCTTTTGGGACAACCCATCCCTCCTCTTAGAAGCAGCCTTTTGATGTTACGGAATTCTGGGAGCAATATTTATTCTGCAGTTGCGGGACTGAACCTGCAGGATAAATGTCACTAGTATACTATTATTTATATCCACAAAAAAAGGCCAATTTGACTCACTATTATATTTTATTTTAAAAAACACTGGTTTGCATATGTGCAGCCTGAGAAGCTACAATGCTGTGGCACTGGGCTAGCACATGGTAAATGAGCAAGCAGACAGAATCTAACGCTAGTCACCACCCATTGGACCATACACCTGGAGAAAAAAAAATTCCCACCTCTAAATGTTCTCAGAGGTGAACAGAAGTAACATTAGGATTAGTCTGTTAAAAAATATCAAAAACATTGTTTTGACTTGCCTGTGTCGCTCACAGAAGACACTCATGGACACACCTGGGTTGGGCCCAAGGCCTGCTTTATCCACCCGTCTTTCCAGACGCCCAGCAGAATTCCTAGGGAAAGTCCACAGGTTAATATGTGCACTGCTGTTAAAACTGATTGGCTGAGAGGCATAACAGAAAAACCTTTTCCTGTGACACCCCCTCCCCGAATGGAATCAAATTATCCATCCAGTAGTATCCAACCCTTGGCGATTCCATGAGCCAGCTCCCTCCATGGTTTCCAATCCTGAACAGCTATTTTGGCCAGTGCCTGCTTTGACTCCAACCAATGCGTTATTTGCCGTCCTCGTCATCTTTTACTGCAGAGCCTTCTGAGCATAACGTCTTTCTCCATAACATCTTGCAACCCCCTCCCTTATGCAATAGCCGAGTCTCTTGTAGTTGCAGAGTGGGAAGGGACGCTGAGGAACCAACCTTCTTGCCGTGGAAAAACCTACAGCCAAAAGATTCCCCACAAACGGTTGTCCAAAATCAGCTGAAAAACTTACAATGAAGGTGATTTTGTCATCCTTCAAGATAGTCTGTTTCACTACGATCTTAACGTCAAGAAGTTATTCCAATTTTAAGCTAGACTCTTGTCCCCTGTAATTTGAATCCCTTAGTTCACATCCAACCGTGAATGTTAACAAAAAAATGTGCATGGTTCTCAGACATTTGAAGAGAGTTACCATCTTCCCTTTTCCAGGCTAAACATGTCAAGCTCTAAATCATTTTTCACAGGCTTGGTTTCCTAACCCTTTATTATCTTGGATATTTTCCTCTGGATATGTTTCATCTCAGTCTAGAAAACTGTGGTGCTCAAAGTGATCCTACATAGTCACAGATGATGTCTGTCCAAAACAGATTTCTCTTGATCTCAATACAGCAACCTAGAATTGCATTAGTCATTTTTTGCTTCTGCACACACTGTTGGCACATGGTTTGCTTTCAACCTGTTAAGACTTCTAGATCACTGGTCCCCAACCTTTTCAGAACCGTGGACCGGTTGGGGGGGCAGGGGTCCGTGCGTGGGAGGGGCGAGGCACACTCATGGGGGCGTGCGCTCATGTGCACGTGTGGATGGGCGGGGCATGCTCATGCACATGGGTGGGGCATGCTCATGGGAGGGTGGGGCGCACTCGTGTGCATGCATGGATGAGTGGGGTGCTCTTGCAGGTGGGCGGGGTGCACTTGTGCACGGGTAGGCATGCCATGCATACAAGTGGGCATGTGGGGGAGTGCATGCAGGGGCGGGAGATCTGTCTCTGTGGCCCGGACCGTCACTGGGTCGCAAACCGGGGGTTGGGGACCCCTGCTCTAGATCATCTTTGTCCATATTGCTGTCCAGCCATGTTTCACTTATCCTCTCTTTGTGCATCTGATTTTTCACCTCAAATGCAGAACTGCTGAGACTTATTGTTTGTTTTGGCTCCCTTCTCCATATAATCTCCTAAACTTACGTATCTCCAATGACAATTCTGATGGATTAGCTCCCGCTACTGGTTTGGTATCTGAAGGCTGGAGGAGCATCTCTTCTATTCCTCCATCTAAGCCATTTATGAAGATGTTGAACAATGCCAGGCTCGGGACAAATCCAATGGGACACGTGTCACTTCTCTCTGGGATGACAAGGAACCCTTGTGTACCTCCTCTGGATATGGTCTGTCAATCAGCTATCGAACCCACTCAACGGCAGCCCTGCTCAGACTATTTTACCAGATTGTCTGAAAGCACACCTTTTTGAAAGTCTTCACAGAACTGAAGACACGCAGTATCTTCACAGCATTCTCCAGACTAAGCTGATCGTTTTTGTCAAAAAAATAAATGACATGACTTGGTTTGAGAAATCCAAATCGTAAGCTTAGAATATGGTAATGAAACTCTCCCTGACTGCTTTCGAAGCAGCTGCTTGAAAGAAGACCTGATTGTTTCATACTGCTTTTAGCCGTATGTCAGATTCTCTTTCTACACGGACTATTTCAAAGGGTTTGTGCTTTTTTTACTGAACAGCATCTTACATTTTGCTGTTTTAGCTTCCTGCCTTGTGAACTACCTTGGGGAGGTTTTCCCTCAAAAGGTTGTGTAATTTAAAATAAAAATAATAATAATTATAATTATAAATAAACGAGCACTGCATGAGATCAAGTCTCTCCCACTGTTGTTCCCTAGTGGCTGGTAGGGTACTGCTTCTAATCCTGAATAGTTCCACACAGTCACTGTGAGTTCTGTGGTTAGCAAGAAAAGTGTAATTTTGAAACTTTAAAAGTGTAACTTTTAAAAGCTAAAAACAATAAGTATACAAATATTTCAAAAGAATTAAACAAGTAAAAACGGTAAATAGAATCAATACTAAAAACAAATTTAAAAACA